CCTCAAGTCACGATACCATATACTAATAGTAAAAATTAGAAAAATAGTAAAAAAGGACCTCCTGTGGGTCCTTTACTCGCAATTCCGGCCCTTGTCCTAACCGTAATCCACTCAAAAGGAGAAAAAAAGGACTCTACTGACGAGTAAACTCAATATCAACTTAGAGGAACAAAATGGGACTCTACTGACGAGCAAAGTAAAAATCTACTAGAAGAAATAAAAAAGGACTCTACTGACGGACAAAAGAAAAAAAACATTGGATAATTTTTTTAATACAACTTTAATTTTTAATATAGATAGGAGAATAGAAAAGAGAGAACAAAAAGGACTCTACTGACAAGCAAATGGAATATAAACTTGAAAGAAATAAAAAAGGACTCTACTGACGAGCAAAGTAAAAATCTACTAGAGGAAATAACAAAGGACTCTACTGACGGACAAAAGAAAAAAACATTGGATAATTTTTTAATACAACTTTAAATTTTAATATAAAATATAAGAATAAAAAAGAGAGAAAGAAATAGAGAACAAAAAAGGACTCTACTGACAAGCAAATTGAATATAAACTTGAAAGAAATAAAAAAGGACTCTACTGACGAGCAAATTAAATATCAACTTAAAACATAAAAAGGAACTCTACTGACGACCAAATAAAATATGAACCTAGAAAATAAAAAAGGACTCTACTGACGAGCAAATTTAAAAATCAACTTATAAAAGAAAGAACTCTACTGGCGAGCAGACTTAGTTTTGACCTGAATAAAATTAAACAAAAATAGTACTGTACAGACGAGCAAAATTGACAAAATAATAATAATAGGACTCTACTGACGATCAAACTAAAAGAATAAAATGGATACTGCTGATGGAGCAACAAAATAATAACTTCTTGTTGGAAACTAGTAAATTATCTTCAAATAAATAAAAGGAACTGTACTGATGAGCAAATTCGTGTACACTTATTAGTAGAGTATTAAGATGAGTATTCGAAAATATGTCCATAATTAACATCCCGTAGAATAAGTATAGTAATCGCAAAAAAAGTTGAGAATGAAAATTTTTATATGTCTTTACGTTTCAGAGGTTTCTGAACATTTTGGCATACCTTAGAAACAATTGACTGTGGGTGCGTGTGTGTGTGGGTGTGTCGTACATAAAACATATAACAGATAAATAATAATTTATTGAACTTAAGAGTGACTTGTAAAATAAAACAAAACGCACCCAATTTTTTTTTCGCTTTCTTTTAATTTATATTTGAGAAATTTAATATAAGTGCCTCCAGTGGGCCCTTTTTTCCAAATCCGGCCCTGTCCAGATTCTATTCCGACCATAACCTAACCGTGATCAACTCAAAAAGAAAAAAAGGACTCTACTGACGAGCAAAGTAAATATCAACTAGAAAACAAAAAAGGGACTGTACTGATGAGCAAATAAAATATCAACTTAGAAAATAAAAATAAGGACTCTACTGACGAGCAAATTAAAAAATCAATTGGAAAAACAAAAAGGGACTGTAGAGACGAGCACACTTAATTTGAACAAAATTTAACAACTATAAGACTCTACTGACGAGTAAGGTAAAAATCAACTAGAAAAACAAAAATAAGGGACTTTACTGACGAGCAAATTAAATATCAATCTAGAAGAAATCAAAAAGGACTCTACTGACGGATAAGAGAAAAAAACATTGGATAATTTTTTTAATACAACTTTAACTTCTAATACAAAATAGGAGAAAAAAAAGAGAGAAAGATATAGAGAGCAAAAAAGGACTCTACTGACAAGCAAATCAAATATAAACTTAAAATTAATAAAATAAAATATTAAATTAAAAGTAATAAATAAAAGTGTACTGACAATCAAACTGAATTTAGACAAAAAAGGGATTGTACTGACGAACAAAATGAAATCTCGAAAAAGAAAATAGGACTTTACTGACAAACAAAATGAAATCTAGACAGAGTAACAAAAAAGGGACTCTACTGACGAGCTAATTAAATACAAATCTGTTTTAATACAAAAATGCAAAGAGGACTTTATTTTTCTCCCCGGGCCCTTTACCCCCAAATCCTGCCCTGTCCTGATTCTATTCCAACCATAACCTAACAATCACATAGCAATATGTGCAATATGCGAATACTATACGGATTATCCGGTATTATTATTATTATTATTATAGCACACTCTTGTAACCTCCAAACAAACTCGATCAGGATTCAAAATACGAATGACCACCAGTAAAATGACCACCAATACAATCAACATTTGCTAAAGTATAAAAGGTGGGCCGACGTCGACTAAAAGACATTGCATTCGTGAAGACGAACGATAAAAGACACAAAGTGTTAAAATAATAATAATATTATTATTAAAAATAATTCTAGTGTTTTTTGTTTAGGAGAAATTATTTTAGTGAAAATGGTCTCAAGGGTGAGTACTGAAAAAGATTAAAAAGGGACTCTACTGACGAGCAAATTAAATATCAATTAAAAAGACAAAAAAGGACTTTACTGACTTGATGTATTTAAAAGTTTATGAGGTGTTCGATTTGCTCGTCAGTAGAATCCCTTTTTTGTTTTTTTTTGTCTAAATTCGATTTGCTCGTCAGTAGAATCCCTTTTTTGTTTTTTTTTGTCTAAATTCGATTTGCTTGTCAGTAGAATCCCTTTTTTGTTTTTTTTTGTCTAAATTCGATTTGCTCGTCAGTAGAATCCCTTTTTTGTTTTTTTTTTGTCTAAATTCGATTTGCTTACTCAAGAAATTATTTTAGTGAAAATGGTCTCAAGGGTGAGTACTGAAAAAGATTAAAAAGGGACTCTACTGACGAGCAAATTAAATATCAATTAAGAAGACATAAAAAGGACTTTACTGATTTGATGTATTCAAAGTTTATGAGGTTTAGTGTTATTACACTTTTATTTGAAATAAAAAATAAATTTTTGGAAAATTAATTTTACCTCTTTCTAACTCTCGCTTATACTCTTATTTTTTATTAACAACGATCTGCCGAGCTGTTTCTTTGAAATTTAGATAAAAGTGTTGAACGTCGTCAACATTTATGCTCATTCTACCGAATCGATTTTTAAAAATCAAAAACTGTTCGAAACCAAAATTTTCTCTTTTTTTCTCTCTCTCTCTCTTTCACACACACTCTCTTATACTTTCTTATTTTTAATTAAAAGTTTATAAAAAGAATTATGTTTTTACGGATATTTTGCATTTCATTTGTAAATTTGCTCGTCAGTAGAGTCCGTTTTGTATTTTGTTTTCATTTTGCTTCTCAATATATTCCGTTTTAATTTAACGCGTCAGTAGAGTCCCTTTTTTGTTTTTTTTTGTCTAAATTCGATTTGCTCGTCAGTAGAGTCCCTTTTATCTTTTTATGTCTAAATTAATTATTTTGATCGTCAGTAGAGTCCCTTTTTTGTTCTTTTGTTTATATTTAATTTGCTTGTCAGTAGAGTTCCTTTTTTATTCCTCTGTCTAAATTAATTACTTTGCTCGTCAGTAGAGTCCCTTTTTTGTTTTTTTGTCTAAATTCGATTTGCTCGTCAGTAGAATCCTTTTTATTTTTTTGGATTTTATATTTATTTTGCTCGTCAGTACAGTTCTTTTTTGTTTTTTTTATTGAAATTCATTTTGCTCGTCAGTAGAGTCCTCTTTCATTTTTCTTAAGTTTATGTTTAATTTGCTAGTCAGTAGAGCTCTTCTGTATAAATTAATTATTTTGCTTGTCAGTAGAGTCCTATTTTATTTCTTTTAGATCTATATTATTTATTATATATTTATTATATATTTATTTATATATTTATATATTTATTATTATATTTATCTTGCTCGTCACTAGAGTTTCTTTTTGTTTATATTTGTCCAAATTGAATTTGCTCGTCAGTAGAGTCCTTTCTTATGTAATAAGTTTATATTTAGTTTGCTCCTTAGTAGAGTTCTTTTTTATTTTGAAAACTTATATTTAATTTGCTCGTCAGTAGAGTCTTATTTTTGTTTCTTTATCTAAATTCAGTTTAATCGTCAGTAGACTATTTTTTTACTTTTGTCGAAATTCATTTCGCTCGTTAGTAGAGTCCTATTCCATTCGTTCTAAGTTTTAATATCTAATTTGCTCGTCAGTATAGTTCTTTTTTGTCTTTTAGATCAATTTCAAATTTGCTCCTCAGTAGAGTCCTTTTCCATTTTTAAGTGGTTATTTAATTTGCTCGTCAGTAGAGTCTTCTTTTTTATTCTTCTGTCTATATTAATTATTTTGGTGGTCAGTAGAATCCCTTTGTTGTAGTCTATTTTCAGTTTGTTCAAATTTAGTTAACTTGTCAGTACAGTTCTTTCTTGTTCCCTTATCAAGATTGAGTTTGGTCGTCAGTAGAGTCTCTTTTTGATTTTTTAGATTAATATTTAATTTGCTCATCAGTAGAATTCTTTTATTTAAATTCAATTTGCTGGTCAGTCGAGTTCTTTTCTTGTTTTTTTATTTAAATTAATACTGCTCGTCAGTAGAGTCCTTTTTTATGTTCAAAATTTATATTTAATTTGCTCGACAGTAGAGTTCCTTTTTTCTAAAATATTATTTTACTATTTTCTTTCAAAAAGTTATTATTTAGTGTGCTCATCAGTAGAGTCCCTTTTTTCTCTTTTATGTTGATATTTAATTTTGTTCGTCGGTGGAATCCTTCTTTGTCTTTTAGGTCAATATTAATTTTTGTCGTCAGTAGAGTCCTTTTCTAACTTCTTATACAAAAATAAATACAAAATAGAAATATTTTGAAAAATAAGTTACTTAAATAGAGAGAGATAGATAATAAGCTAGATAGAATAGAAGAATTATAAAGAAAAAAAAGAGAGATAAATAAACGCATATATAATGCAGATAAATACAAAATTTGAATAAAGAAAAAACTAAAGAAAATTCGTTCGATGTGAAAGAAAGAAGTATTTTCATTTTTATGAACTTTTATTTTTAATTTTTGAAAATAAGAGTGTGAAAGATGCAGCAAGTAAGGAATAAAGATAGAAAGAAAAGAAAAGAAATCAAGAAAATTTTATCATTTGCATTTTAAAAAGGAAGAGATAGAAAGAGAGTAGAATTTAAAGAAAATTTGTTAAAAAAATTACGTTTTTTTAATTTTATTCTGCAGATTGTATGTCTATTCGCCTTGTGCGCAGTCGCCCGTGCCGGAATTCTAGCCCCTGCAGCGCCTCTCTTGGCAGCCCCTGCTATTGCCACCAAAGTCTTGGCGACGGAAGGTAAAATATAAAAAACCACTTTATTTTCAAAATAACCACTTAAAAAACTCATTTTAACAACTAAATATAAAATATTATTGTCTACAAGTCAATACATTGATTTACAAGTTTATGCAACTTGAGGCAAAATGCCACTTACACCTAATTTAATAAGAATATATCGAATAATAATAAATAATAGTCATTTTATAATTTTATTAAAGTCAATTTATTATTTTATAAAAAATAAAATTGCACAGTGTGAAACGTGCTTTAGCGTAAAGCCGCTACCACACTTGCTATTTTATATATAACGCTCCAAAATTGTTTTATATGAAACCGGATACATGTGTTGACGGCTTTAGCGTTTAAAGTTGTTTTCACACTTGAGATTTTAAGGAAAAATGTTAAAACAATTGTATATTATATATAAAGTTCTTCTGTAAAGGTGTATGAATGGTTAATCCTCCTGAACGATTATTCGGATTTTGATAAATCTTTCTGAAGTTTGTTAAGGGTTTTTTTAGGATTTTTTAAATTATAGAAATATAGTTAGATTGTAGAAATAAATGGAAAAAATGACAAAAAAAACAACTAAATTTTTTTTAATAATTAAGTCGATTATTTACGCACAAGCAACTTTCCTTAAGGCTAAATTTTACTTATACCTAGTTTATTTACGACTTTTTAGACTACGACCACCATCCTCAGTACAGTTTTGCATATGATGTCCAGGATGCCTCAACTGGTGACTCCAAATCGCAACATGAGACCAGAGATGGCGACGTTGTACGAGGACAGTACTCCCTTTTGGAGGCTGATGGTAATTTAAATATATTCATATATATATATATATATATATATATATATATATAATTATTTTTTATTAGGAACTAGAAGAATTGTTGACTACACCGCCGATGCCATCAACGGCTTCAACGCCGTCGTTCGCAAAGAAGGATTAATTGCCAAAGCGGCTCCTGTGGCCATCGCTGCTCCAGCCCCTGTCGCATACGCCGCCCCTGCCATCGCCAAGTTCGCAGCGCCTGCACCGATCATCGCTGCTGCACCGGTAAATAATAAAAATAGTTGGTATATTTGGATAGTCGAGACCTTTCATTTGATACCCAACGAGACCTTTCATTGATACCCAACATGCCTATATTTGAAGTAAAACTTCTTAACTCATTTTTGATTTCATTTGGCAACCCATTGGTCGGCGCTTTATTGTATCTCTCGTAACTTTTGAACCGTTTGTCCAAATTGAGTAAAATATTTGGCAAAATTGTTTTAAATTGAATTATCTATAATTTGTTCTAAGACAGTAAAGCCTTACAGCAACTTGGTATACTTCAAAAAAGCTAAAATAGGCACCAGAACTTAAATAAATGTTGCGTACGGAACTCTGTTGCTTCTTTGAGTGTGTTACTAAGATATTTGTTTAGTGCTCGTCGAGACCTTTCATTTTATACCCACCATGCCTATATTTGAAGTAAAACTTTTTAACTCATATTCAACCCCGAAATCAGCAACCCATTGGTCAACCTTTTATTAAAACTCTTGTAACTTTTGAATCGTTGGTCCAAAATGCATGGAATATTCGGCAAAGTTGTTCTAAATTTTAATATCTATAAAATTGTCTAGTACAGTAAAACTCTACAGCAACTCGGTATACTTTAAAATAGCAAAAATAGCCATCAGAACTTGAATAAATGTTGTGTACGGAACCATTTGGGTTTGTTGAGTATATTACTAAGATATTTGTATAGAGCTCGTCAAGACCTTTTATTTGATACCCAACATGCCTATTTGAAGTAAAACTTCTTAACTCACATTTGACCCGCTGTACTATTTAAACTCTAGCTATTTATGGTGCATTTATTTATTAAATCACTTATAACTTCTAAACCATTTGTTCGATATAAATGATATATACAACAAATTTGTTTAAAATTAAATTATCTACAACTTTGTCTTATACCCCAATGCTCTACACCAACTCGGTATACCTCAAAACTAAATTTAAATTTCAATTACCGATTTTTTTCCAGGTAGCAAAACTCGCAGCGCCTCTGGCTTACGCAGCTCCAATCGCTAAATTCGCTGCTCCAGCGGCCCCTGCAATCGCTTACGCCGCCCCTGCTCCAATCGCTTACGCCGCCCCTGCTCCAGCAATCGCTCCAATCGCTAAATTTGCTGCAGCTACTCCCCTTCCAGCAGCTCCAATCGCTTATTCAGCGTCCCCTTACCATTACGCAGCTTACGGCTACGCTGCTCCAGCGCCCGCTTACGCTAAATTCGCTGCTCCAGCTATCGCCTATTCGAGCTACATTCGCTGAGGAGTAGGAGGAGGATATAGAAGATTAGTTGAAGGACTAAGGCAATAGGACAACTGACGACTGATTGATGTAATGATTCTTTTGTAATGTATTTGATAGGTAAATAAATTTTGTATGGAAACATTATGTGGTGGGTTTTTGGTTGATGGGAGAGGTTTGTGTTGTATGGGAAATTCGGGGGGAATTTTGTTGGCTATACAGTGGTTTTGGACAGAATTTTGCCAGGACAATATTTTTAGAGTTTTGGGCAAAAATTGGAGAAGTGTACCAGGGCGCACCTTGTACTTACTTACATTGTCAATATTTCAATTACAGTTTACAGTATTAATTTATAAATTTTTGTATATACATTGTTGGGGAGATTTGTGGCAAATTGTATTGGCTACAAAGTGGTTTTGGACAAATTTGTGCTAGACAAATATTTTAAGAGTTTTGGACAAAACTTTAGAGAAGTATACCAAGACGTACCTTAGGCTTGGATACATTGTCTACATTTTAACCACAATTTGCAAGATTATAAATGACTTTTATTATATACTTTGTTTGGGGAATTTATTTGGAATTGTATTGGCTATAAAGTGATTTTGGACAGAATTTTGCCAGACTAGTATTTTAAGAGTTCTGGACAAAAATATAGGAACATTTATCATGATGTACCTTGTCTTGGCTACATTGTCCACATTTTTAGTATCATTTATAAAGTTATTGAATGATTTTATGTATATACATTGTTTGGGAGATTCGTGGCAAATTTTGTGGGCTATACAGTGGTTTTGGAAAAATTTGTGCTAGACCAGTATTTTAAGAGTTTCTGACAAAAATATGGAAACGTATACCAGCACGTACTTTGCGTTTATTTGTATTGTCCAAGTTTTAATCATGATTTACAATACGAATACATATATTTATATATATACATTGTTTGGGAAAATCGTGGCAAATTTTGTTGGCTATAAAGTGATTTTGGACAAAATTTTGCCAGTATTTTAAGAGTTCTGGACAAAATAAACAAAAGTGTACAACAACGTACCTTAGGCTTGGATACATTGTCTACATTTTAACCACAATTTGCAAGATTATAAATGACTTTAACTACGTACATTGTTTGGGAGATTTTTGGTAAATTGTATTGGCTTCAAAGTGGTTTTGGACAGAATTTTGCCAGACTAGTATTCTAAGAGTTCTAGACAAAAATATAGGAACATTTATCATGATGTACCTTGCACTTACCTACATTGTCTACAATTTCTGTATCATTTATAAAATTATTGAATAACATTATGTATATACATTGTTAGGGAAATTCATGGCAAATTTTATTGGCTATAAGGTGGTTTTGGACAAATTTCTACTAGACAAATATTTTAGGAGTTCTTTGCAAAAATATAGAGAAGTATTCCAAGACGTACCTTGTGTTCAACTACATTGTTAACATTTTAACCACAATTTGCAAGATTATAAATGACTTTAACTTTGTACATTGTTTGGGAGATTTTTGGTAAATTGTATTGGCTTCAAAGTGGTTTTGGACAAAATTTTGCCATACAGATATTTTAGGAGTTATGTGCAAAAATATAGAAAAATGTACCATCCCTTTTATTAGAAATTTTTTACTAATTTTATTTCTATGTATAATTATGTGTTGCTCGTCAGTAGAGTTCTATTCTTTAGGAATTCGGTTTGCTCGTCAGTAGAGTTCTTTTTTATTTTTGTACTTAATTTGTAATGTAATTTTTTTATTTAAGTCAGTAGAGTCCCTTTTAAGTCGCTCCATTCGTCAATGAAATCTCTTTTTTATTTAAAGTATGCTTGTCAGTAGAGTCCCTTTCTTATTTTATGTATGGCTTGCTCATCAGTAAAGTCTTGTAGGGTAAAAATTCAGCTCGTTTGTATAGTTCTTTTTCATTTTTTTTTAAATTCTGTATGCTCTTCAGTAGAGTTCTTTGTTATTTATCATTTCTCAATTTCTTCTCAATTTCTTGTTTAACAATATTTTATGTATGTTTATTAATTTTTTCTCCAATGTAGCATTTTATTAATTATATACTTGCTCGTCAGTAGAGTCCCTTTTGCTGTACGCTATCTTCACAATATAACAAAATAATAATAGAAAGAAATTTGCTCGTCAGTAGAGTCCCTTCTGCTGTACATTGTCTTCGTAATATAACAATATTTAATATTATAAAACAATTTGCTTGTCAGTAGAGTTCTTTGGATATGTAAATATGATATTTTGATAGAGCTCGTAGGGACCTTTCATTTGATACCCAACACGCCTATATTTGAAGCAAAACTTTTTAAGTCACATTTGACCTAAACTTAAGTTTGTACACGACTACGGCAACTCAATGGTTTACTTATTAAATCTGTTGTAACTTCTGAACCCTTGCACCAAAATAAATGAAATATTTGACAAATTTGTTCTAAATTAAATTATCTATAATTGTACTTGGTATCAATCCTTAAATATACTCGGTATACTTTAAAATTACAATAGAAACCTTTGCGTTTATTTGTATTGTCAAAGTTTTACCCAGGATTTACAATATGAGTACATCGTTTTATACATATATATTGTATGGGAAGTTCGTGGGGAATTTTGTTGGCTATAAAGTGGTTTTGGACAAATTTCTGCTAGACATATATTTTCAGAGTTTTGGACAAAAATATATAAAAAAGTGCCAGTGAGCTCCTTGCGTTTACCTACATTGTCTACATTTTTAGTATCATTTATAAAGAAATTGAACAATTTTATGATTTTTTGCGAGGCGATTTAAAATTTTATTTATATACATTGTTAGGGAAATTCGTGGCAAATTTTATTGGCTATACAATGATTTTGGACAGAATTTTGCTAGACAAATATTTTTAGAGTTTTGGACAAAAATATACAAAAGTGTACCAAGACGTACCTTGTACTTACTTACATTGTCTACATTTTCTTTTACATTTATAAAGTTATTGAATAATTTTAAGTATATACATTATTTGGGAAATTCTTGGCAAATTTTATTGGCTATACAATGGTTTTGGACAAAATTTTGCTAGACAAATATTTTAAGAGTTCTGGACAAAAATATAGGAACATTTATCATGATGTACCTTGGCTTGGCTACATTGTCCACATTTTAACTACAACTTATAAGATTGTAAATAATTGTGGACATATACATTGTTAGAGAAATTTATGGGCAATTTTATTGGCTATTAGGTGGTTTTGGACAAATTTCTACTAGACAAATATTTTCAGAGTTTTGAACAAAAATATTCAAAAATGTACCAGGGAGCTCCTTGCGTTTACCTACATTGTCTACATTTTCAGTACCATTTATAAAATTAATAATAAATGTTACTTATATCTATTGTTAGTAAGATTTGTAGATAACTTATTTATCTTTCGAGTGGTTTAGAACAATTTTCTCCAAAACTAATATTTTAAGAGTCAAATATGAAAAAAAATATTATTTTCTTCATTACCTAATTTAAGTGCTGCGAGCCGTTTTGCATTTCATAAATAAATAAATGATTTTAATATCAAAAATTAATTGATTGGACAAATACATTGTTCACATTTTCAGTAACATTTATAAAATTATTGAATAACTTTATGTATATACATTGTTTAGGAAATTTTTTGGCAAATTTTGTTCGCTATGTGATTTTAGACAAGTTTCTCCTAAACAAATATTTTAAGAGTTATCTAAAAAAATATGAAAAAAAACAGTTATTTTCTCCATCACCTAATCCAAACAGTGCTGCAAGCAGTTTTGCATTTCATAAGTAAATAAATGATTTTAAGATCAAAAATTAATTATTTAGATAAATAATTATTTAGACAAACGTAGATAATTTAGTTATCTTTGAGCCGTTTGAAGATTGTTTGAGGATAAATTAGATAATTAAAAGTTATGTTCTAAATTATAAAAAAAAGTACGTCCAATATACTAAAAACTTAAGTTTACCCCCAAGCAATAAAATGTATGGTGCATTTTTACATTTTAGTACATAACTTTGAAAATATCTTAGGTATCTTAAAACTATCTTAGAACAGATTAAAGATAACTGAATTATCTACATTTTTCTTATATATTATGTACTTCAAAAATA